TTTTAAACATCTTTACCCAAATAACAGAAAAAGTTTTGTGACAAGCTATGAAACTGAAAAAAACCTGATTTCCTTTTATATCACAGTAGAATTAATATTTACTGTATTTAACTAGTAAGTTAAAAAATTATTTTAAGAAAACATGCATTTACATAATAAAATGGAGAGGTAACAATGAATTAGACAAGCCTTTCTCAAACCGTATCCCTTGGAATGCTCATTTCATAAGATTCCAGTAATCTGTGTGAAAAACATTTTAAGGTAAAATATATTTGGGAAATGTGGGTTAGTAGGTCTCTTCTTTTTGACTCTCAGTCTATATTGGGGTGCCTGGGTGGCTCAGTCGGTTGAGCGTCCGACTTTGGCTCAGGTCATGATCTCGCGGTCTGTCAGCTCGAGCCCCGTGTCGGGCTGGAGACAGTTCAGAACCCGGAGCCTGCTTCAGATTCTGTGTCTCCCCCTCTCTGTCCCTCCCCCGCTCATGCTCTGTCTCTGTCTCTGTCAAAAATAAATAAACATTAAAAAAAAATCTTGACTCTCAGTCTATATTAACACACAAAAACCTCTGATAAGATCTGAAACCAGAAACCTGTTTGTCTAATGATCTCCAAAATTCATATATTTTACCTCTGTGATTTTCAAATGAGGGTATACGTTCATCTGAGTCAAGTATAGACTGTCATGTGACAGAAATACCAAGAACTACAAAATAAGTATGGTATATACTCCTGGAGTGACAGTTTTAATTATTATTATACTAATGAATAAAATATATATATATATATATATATATATAGAGAGAGAGAGAGAGAGAGAGAGAGAGAGAGAGAGAGTTGTTTTAATGTTTATTTTTGAGAAAGAGAGCAAGCGAGGGGCAAAGACAGAGGGAGAGAGAGAGAATCTCAAGCAGGCACCATACTGCCAGCACAGAGCCTGACATGGGGCTTGAACCCACGAACTGTGAGATCATGACCTGAGCCAAAACCAAGCATCAGACGCTTCACTGACTGAGCCACCCATGTCCCTAAAAAATTATTTTTAAATTAGAACAAGTAGAAGGCTATTGCTCCAAAGCACTTTTGCTGATGGGAGGCTGCTCTATCCCCCAGCCAGACACCTAGGAGTAAGAGTGCCATGAAGATGACTTCAGAGGAAACGCTTGAGAAGGAACAGGACCTAAAACCTGGAGGGTATTGGCATGCCTAATATCCAAAGCAACTTCAACACCTAATCAGGTTTGGATTCATCAGTAAGAAATAAAACAAAGGAGACCAAGAGAAAAAGAAGCCTAACATAACACACTGTTGGAGAAAGCTTGTTTGCCTGCTGTATCTTCCACAGAGCTACATATTTTTCTGCCATTGTGAATGAAAATTGTAGTCTTACTCAGATTTAAACAAGTTCAGGTATGAATCTATTACATCTGTTTTAGGCTAAGTATTCAATTCTGTCAGCTAAGAACTTGCATAGAGCAGGTTGGAGATCAACTAGAAACAACGTTAAAAAGAAGTGAGCTGCTCAGGAACCTAAACATTTAGAGCCATAGATCCCTTTGTTTCCTGGTTATATAGCTGTGTATTAGAAATGTCAGGGGGAGTGGTAATTTATATGATGTCCTGTATGTCTCCCAGTTTGAAATTTTTGAAATTTTTGAGTTTGAAATTTATATGATGTCCTGTATGTCTCCAGTTTGAAATTTTTGAGTTTGAAATTTTGAGCTAGTAACATGTAGAAAGAAAAAGAAATGCAACTAAAATGCAGTAAACTGAAGTCCAGAGACCTGCACCCTTGTTCTTCCTTCACCTTAAATCGGCTATCATTTTATTTGCTCTGTTCCTATAGCCACACATGACAATATTTGCTGAGATGATGGTATAATTCATTCCTAAGACTGGCAACACACACACACACACACACACACACACACACACACACGCACAGACACGCACACACACACACACACGCACACACCCCAAATCTAATATCAGAATGGAAAGCATAGTAAAAAGACTCATTACCTAGGCCTTGGATTTTTCCCAGATGTGACTCTCAAAATATGAAATGATGTTTCACACACAGTTGACATTCAATAACCAAGTAGTTGAACTGATATGGTAAGGAAGGGGCAAATATTTTTAGAAGAGGGACCAAATCAAAAAGGCAAAAGAAATGGTAGCTTACAGGCATGAAAAAAAGGGTAATAAAGAAGCAATGTAAACAGAGATTAGAAATAAAATGAAGTGGGGCCTGCTAATTACTGATAAGGAAACGGAAAAAATACTGAGAAATTGTGAGTGAATCTGTGGCTTGAAATTACACACACAAACAATAGAACCTTGAGGACTTCAATCAATCTAAAAGTGATCCTTTAACATTAGCAAAACCATAAATGTAAAAACTAGAAGAGGCAAAAAAAAAGGTAATTCCTGTTTTAAGAAACTTAAAATCTTCCATCAGAGAAAGAAGGCATAATCCATAATTGGCTTATTTTACAAAAAAACTTACATGATAGGATAGGAAAATTAATAACTTCAGGATTTCAATATTATATTGATTCAAAATCCAATGGATCAGTACCTTATTGTCAGAGTTTATGCCACTTCCGGGAGGTTCAGACAACTGCAAAGTTAGAGGCCATATAGTCCTTAGACTGCCCTCACTTCTGACACTAATTGCAAGTTTGGGATATCCCATAACTACCCTCAGCCTAGATGATTCTCTAGAAGGAGTCACAGAACTCACTGAAAGCAGTTGTTTCATGGTTACAGCTCATTACAGTGAAAGGGTACAGAGGAGTACCAGTCAAAGAATGAGGCACAAAGGGTTGAGTCCAGGAAAGTAGCAATCATGGAGCTTCCATTATCCTCTCCCCATGGAGTCAGGAGGTACTGCTTTCCTGGCACTGTGTGACAATACACACAGAATATTGCCAGCAAGGGAAAATCACCTGGGACTCAGTGTTCAGAGTATTTATTGGGGATCAATTATATAGTATGATTGGTTGGCTGCCCACATGGTGGGTTTCTATCACCAGGCTGACTGGTACCATGTGATTCAAAGCCCCCATCCTATATCACCTGTTTTTCTTGTATCCCAGTTATGACCAAACAATGAAGCAATAGATATAAAAGTACTTCAAAAGATCATAGTTGCACTACAAATAAAAGTTACTATTAGCTTTTCTCCCCATAGTTTTTCTTTGAAGTCAGATAAGTCCTACCGAAAAATTTTAAAAAACACCATGCTATAACATAATTAAATCATGCTTCAATATTCATAATTTTTAAATCCATTATTTATGGCAAATTCACAGCTTACAATAAATTATTATGTTAAATATTAATAAAATTTCAATGAAATGCATCACAAAATTACATAAACTAATAAGAGCTATTTTTTTATCTTGTACAATATCTTGAATGTCCAAAGATAAAGCGACAATGTTACTATATAGGACATAATGAGTTCAGAGTCTATCACCCACTCTCTTTAACACTCACTAAAAGGCTACCTTTGGCTATATATAGCCTGTGCATTAGCACTCTGGAAACTGCTAATTTGTAGGGATGAGGCTGATATTACTTGAGAAGAGGTGATATAGAAAACATGGAGAAATTTCTTTTTTAACCACCTTCATTCATTTTGAAAAAATTTAAAAATTTAGCTGGGAAGAATAAGAGGATAGCCTATTGCTTTGAAAATGTACCTAAAGGGGATATAAAAATGTTATAACTTCAAGTTTTCAAATCATGCGGAGAAGCCTTTTTTTCTCTGGTTAATAGCATTCTATTAAAGCTAGCAACTTTGTATGTTCATTCATTCCCTTAACCTGGATAGAAATCCATTAGGTGCCACAGGAATATAAAAGCTTACAAGAATATTTCTAAATGTAGAAAAACCATAGGATGATCTATAAATATAAGCATGGTGGAGTCATAGAGAGGACAGGTGTGTTTGCCTGGGTAAGAAATACAAAAGAAACAACAGTAGCATGGAATGAAGGACACTCAATGGGCTAGTAATGTATCATTGCACCTTTAGATGTGTGGAGTCTGAAGTAGCACACAAAAAGCTAAAGAAGAGCTTTTTGAAGGTTTTATCCATCATTGGTCCCATCGTAAAGGCAACACTAATCCAGAAAGTCCACCCTTTCTTGTTCAAAAATGAACAGAAGAGCTGAGCTTAGCTCTGGAATTGGAATCTTGAGTTAAACAACAAAGATTTTTAAAAAATCCCAATTAATAACAATTATGTGGAACCCTAGGGCTGCCGTAGGTTCTGCTGTTTCTAAGACTAGGTTTTCAATTTTTCCTTGAATTTTCTGGGCAACCCCCATAACAGATCCCAGCAAAACTCTCACTTTGTCTAAGTTAGAAGTGCTTTCTGACACGTTCAATCAAAGAGCCTAACCAAAAGAGGTGAACAGCCTCTCTGTATCCAAAAATGATAAACAGCCATGGTGCAGACACCTTTGGTCAAGATAATCAAGGAAATTTTTCTGTGTACTTGACGAAAAGCTCAGTTCTGTAGAGATCTAAAAAGTGTACAAACACATGGCTTTAAATAAGCCAGTAAGCTTTAAATATACACAGGGAAACAGAAATCACACATGGGAAATGGTTACAAAACTATGAATAACTAAGTTACTAAGAAAAAAAAGGCCCCATTTTCTGTGGAATAGCATTTCTAGAAAGGGAAATAATGGAAGAGAACTTAATCTCACACGCTTTCTGGAGGAAGATCAAGATTGAGCATGAACTAAAATCTAAATAAATGGCCCCTGTTATTAGGAGTAGGATTAAATGATTCAGTGAAGAAATATATCCAGTGCATACACTTAAACAAGAATAATAAAATCCCACAACAAATGTCTTTGGAAGGATATAACGAAGTAAAGAAGAGTCAGGGTCCTCATTGATTAAGCACTCATGCAGTGTTCATTGATGCAGTTGGCCATATTCAGTTTCAGTAAAAAGGTGCACGTACATAAATAATCTTACCTCTGCCAACCCCAGATCACCATGTCCAAAGGGCTCTGCTCAGTCTTCAGATGGATGCGGTGGAGGCTCACGGATGGGTAACACGACAGACCCACAGGAATAAAAAGACAGAAAGGAGGACCTACGAGAGAAGAATGAAAGTAATGGGACTGTTAAAGGTAAGGAAGGAAAGAGTTACAGTAGACAACAGCTTAGAACGGTGGTATTTCAAATATTTCAGAAGATACACTTGCCATTAACACAAAAGGCAAAGGAAGAGATAATGACAAATGAAAATAACCAGTTCATGTACAACATTATGTCTTAGTTTTTGAAACTAAGTCAAGCCTTTTAACTTGCCAAGAGGTCTTTTGGATTTGGTTTTAAGGGTCCCATCAGACATAAATTTCTATGACTCTGAGATTTTAACCGTAGCTTGATTGAGGGATGTGCCACTCCCTGGGGACATCTGTTCTACAAAGGCTAAGAACATGGCAGGAAATCTAGGGAGGCTGAGAACATTTTAGTTACCAGATTGCACACTACATATAATTCAGAAGACTTTGGTAAGTAGGGTGACTATATAATTTATGATTCACCTTGGGATTCTTTTGAGAGTTCCGGGGGGGGGAGGTTATTAATAATTGTGTTAGAACAAGGCACAGACCACATACATACATAGTCATATCTTCAAAACCTCTCAGGTAGGGAGAGGATCTAACTCCAAGAAAACATTTCCCCCAAGAGTAATAGTAGTTTGGGCAGGTACCTGTTTATCTGAGTATTATACAGGCCTTCGGCCAGAATGCATTGCTTAGGATAACAACCAGAGAGGTAAGGCCCTTTCTCTCATAGCGCCTGTCCTCAATCTGTCCTGTCAAAATATGTTGAACACATATTTCAAGGGTGATTTAAAAGGACATTTAAAAGTAGTAATCTGAATTTACAACATCAAAAATGTACTGAACAGTAAGGAGAGATTCTGGAAAGGCGAGACACCATTTTCTCTAAATTTCCCATCTGCATAGGTAAGCTTTCCTTCTCCTCACAAATATTTTTCTTTGATATCCTTCCCCAACTTTGTCCTCATCAAGATTTTGTCAGACTTGCCATGCCCTCATTTATAATACCCCCTAAATCCTGAAACTACTGAGGAAACCCCCTTACATATCCACAGCTACACCGAGCAAGGCAGAGCCTCCTGGAGCCTATATTACATTAACCAAAAGAAAAAAAAAAAAAAATCAGATCCATATCTGGCTCAAACAGTCAGTGAGCTGGGGCAGAATCATCTGGGAACCCGGGGGGCTAACTCAACCAGTGAGCTGCTGGTACCAGGTCATTTCCAAACCATGACTGGAGTTGTTCTTTCTAAAGTTAGCCAGAGACAAAGACATTGTGTGTGGAGACATGCAATTTGCCCCATAGACAGAGGCCCCAAAGGTCAATGTGACAGCAAAAGAAATCTCTGCAGGAAAAATTCAAAGCTCTGCTTGGCTCCAAAGCAAGGAAGTGACCACCTTGTGGGAAGGGATCAAGGTGTAATGAGATTTACTTTTCTCATCTCTGCCCTGTAATGAGAGAGGCGAATTAGTATTAATAGGAATGCACCTATGATAGAGTGGCCATCACCTGAGAAGTCAGCAAACGGACATGCTCTGGACCCTGAGGAAAGTACATGGTAAGGAGACCTCAGATACCTGGAGCCTTTGATTTCACTAATAGTTCTGTAGAAAATCCAAGTCAGGAATGGGAGAGGTCGGGTTGCTGGCTCGTGCCCTCCCTTGGTGACAGCTCCAGGCAATTTTACCATCCAGCTGTTCTGTTTTTCAAAATGAAAGTAATTGGAATTGAACTACAGAGCTTTGCTAAAACCCTAGCAATTAACAGTGCAATTTCCTAAATTGCACTGTAATGGAAAAGTGTCCATCAATCAACCCAGTGAAATAACACATTTTCTCACCAGATGTGAGATTTAATATCTTCATAACTCTCTGGATTTACCACTTATGAATTGTCAGCCTTGCCTCAAGCTCTGAGAATTAATGGACTACATCCCTGCTATGCAAGGATGGTTTACAGTTGTAAAATATCCCTACCTTCATTTTAGATATATTTACCAAAATGTTCTTCTTTAAGATGCAATCAGAAAACATGCTAGGTGGGAAAATTTCATTTCTATTTACTAGGTTATATATTATCATTGTCCAGATAAATATAGTTCCCGGAGTCTCAGCACGGCACTCTCTTGTAACAGGAATAGCCAGTTTATCACTGGCCATGAACAATAAATAACCCTGCAAAGATGCAGTGGCTTTGTTTTAAACTTTAGGCTATCCTCTACGGTTGTCTGCAAAGAGAACCCAAAATATTCTTCTAATTCTGTATGTATGTGCAGTCCTGCTATTCCTCTTGGACTAAGAAGAGAGCTCAAAGAACTCACACACGTTCGTGTGGCCACGATGATTATCAGGCACTTCCATTCTATTTTTAGCTTTCACTCCAGTCTCAAACACCTGAGCCATGGCCATGATGAAGCTGCCTCCTGGAAGGAGCCCTGGCAGACTGCTGTGATGCCAGAATCTCAAACTTTCCAGGTTTGGAAACTTCTTGCTTTCACCCTCTAGGGGGAAATACCACAACATTGAGGGTCACTCCACAGGCTTCACATGGACTGAAGTCACCGAATAAGTTATTCTTCCCTCCTACAGTGTTGTACCAGGACCTGTGCGGGAATACGTACAGGGTGCCAGGCAGGCAAAGAGGAGAAGCAGGAGAGGCTGCAGAAGAGTAGGGCATAGGAGGTTGTGGTAGCACTTAGGGAAGGTTACCCAGATGTCTGAGATTGTTGTCACATCACAAAGGAAATACATTGTCAGACACTGGGGTCATCTACATGATGTATAGTTATTTCAAGGAAAAAAAAAGTCACAGAACTCCAGTATTTTGAGAAAACTTAGAGACCATCTATTTCGTTTCTTAATTTCATGGATTCCTAAAACGATTCAATGAAAACTGTTAATCACATCATTGCATCAGATGATACTGCTTACTTGGCAAAATATGTTATACAAGGAATCTGTCATTCATTCTCAGCTGATAACACTTGATTCCCCTTGGCCATATTAGTTCATTTTAGAAGTTAACATTTTTCTTGTTTTTGTTTGTTTGTTTGTGTTTTTGTTTTTTTGTTTTGCAAAAGGAAACACTAGAGGTCATGAAAGGATCACCTTGTCTAAATAATAAAGAAGTCTGACATATCTCTGTATGATTTATTCTATCAGAGATTAAAATCACAAAGCAATAACTACATAGTAAGAAACAGTTCAAAACCCATGAAAGACAGATGAAATACAATTGAGATTGGTAAAATCAATTCAAAAGATTATAAGAATCCTCAACAATAAAGAAATAAATTACTATTTAATAAATAATATTGAGCTGATATGATATGAGTATAGAAAAATTACTTTTCTCATATCACACAATGTATTAATTTCCAGACGAGTCAGAATTAAATATTTCATTGAAAACTAGAGGTAAAAAAAAAGTCTCCTTCTAGCTATGGGAGAAGAGATAAATCCCTGATAATAAAGAAAGGTAGTACATTAGGATCTCATCAGAGGCAAGATGGATGAGCACAGATATGTATAACTAAAGCATCTGAACTATACCATATAGAAGAAGAAAGCAACACAATGAGATCATGCATGAAATATATCTAATTAAAATATACTATCATATATGTGTGTAGACCCACACATATGTATACACACACGTTTGTGAGTGTATAAAGAATTAATGTGCCTTTCACATCACATTACCCAGACTTCCTCTCACAAATAAAGGAGACAAACAAAATTTCACTTGAATAAAGAGAGAACTACCTAACTGGGGAGTGGGGAGGTGGGCAAACACAGCTTTACAAACAACTAAAAATGATAACTAAAATAACACTAAGGTATCATTGCATACCCACTGATGAGGCAAATAAAATAGAAAATGGTAAAGCTCAATGTGAGTCTTTGGAGAAATAGAATATATACCACAGAGGCCACCAACTGGAGGCCTTGTCCATGGGCAGGATCAAGCCAGCACCTTTTCTCCCCACACCGTATTCAAGAACACTTTAAAGTTCTTGCCAAAGAGATTTCACATAAAACCTGGATTTCCAGAGTCTCCATAAAAATTGGAAGTTCTGGGGTGCCTGGGTGGCGCAGTCAGTTAAGCGTCCGACTTCAGCCAGGTCACGATCTCGCGGTCCGGGAGTTCGAGCCCCGCGTCAGGCTCTGGGCTGATGGCTCAGAGCCTGGAGCCTGTTTCCGATTCTGTGTCTCCCTCTCTCTCTGCCCCTCCCCCGTTCATGCTCTGTCTCTCTCTGTCCCAAAAGTAAATAAACGTTGGAAAAAAAAAATTAAAAAAAAAAAAGTTTAAAAAAAAAAAATTGGAAGTTCTATGCCAGCGCCAGAACTGTATGCTCACAAGGCAACATCTAGACAGAGCTGAGCAGAGGGCGCTGTTCCTGCCAGATGGTAGATGGTGACCAACCGGGTGATCTACCCCTATTCCTCTCTGCTGTCAAACACCTGGGCAGCTGCTGTCACTTTTCTATCACTTGGCCAGGGTGGTGGGGGCTTTTCCAGATCACTTACTCAGAATCTGAGCTTGAGATTTATGATTTATACATTGCCCAAGTCATTAAAAAGTTGTTCTTTCTAAAAAGCTGTCTTGAAATTTTAAACAAGTGTTTAAAATCTATTAATATCCTTTGATATAATAAGTTTACCACAGGGACTTGATTTCAAAGAAACCAGCATGTATCTCTCAAATACCCCTCCCTGCCTTCCCCTAAAAGAAACAGCAAATGCTCACTCATGGTAGCACAAAATGGAAAATTCTAAATATCCAACAGTATATGAATAGCTAGATAAACTAAGGCAGAGTAACTGGAGAAACTTTCAGGTAACTATTACAAATGAAAGTCGACTAGTTTGATGAAAATGTGAAAATGTGATTAATGAGAAAAATTATCATATCAGGTAACACCTGCTAGTTAAAGGTCTAGGGCTTTATACAGATAGAGACAAGAAGTGAATGTGGAAAGATGCTGATTGAGTTCAATATGTATGAGATATCTTTCAT